ACTGCGTCCGCGTGGAATAGTGACTTCCGGCAGATTTTTGGTTCTTCCCACATAGTTCCCGTTCTTGCGGGGTTTTCGGATTGGTCGAGTTCCCGTAGAATTTTCAGGATAAAACCTATGTTTTTTTTTTTATTCACAATGAAGTACTCTTAACCAACAACATATTTATTTGTTTATTTGAATAAAGATTAATATTATTATGTTGATACAACTTAAACAAATTATTTCGACCAAATTAGGTACCATAAAAACGGTTTTTGTGAGTTAGTCTTAAAAGATAGACATATACTGTCACGGACTGTTTTTTAGATCATTAAAAGAGCTATTATTCCTTAATACATATTTTTTGTGTATCTTGAACCGTTTTCACGGCGCACGCAACGGAAGGCTTCAAAGATGAAATAATTTCTCCCGTTTTTTACACATTTACCACTATATCTTTGCTCCTATTGGTCGTAGCGTGATGTTATATAGCCCACAGCCTTCCTCGATAACTGGACTACCCAACACAAAAAGAATTATTCAATTCGAACCAGTAGTTTCGGAGATTAGCGCTTTCAAACAAACAAACAAACAAACAAACAAACAAACAAACAAACTCTTCAGCTTTATAATATTAGTATAGATGGTATATAGCACTTACTTATTACAAAATAGTTGGGTTTATAATAATTATTGTACCTGTGAAAAAAAAGTTGTAAAACTTTTATTTGGTGAACATTGCTCTTAATATTTTATAGGAGTTATTTCTTTCATTTCTTATATTTTGTGAAATGTATCTAAATCAAAATGTATTTTGATTGAGGAATAATTTATATTTGTTATTTTTATTTAATTGTTTTGGTGAAAAGCCACATCATAAAAAAACAAATAAAGGTACAAAATGAAAGTAAACTGAAATGACGTAAGTATGTACTGATGGTTACTTTAATAAGTGTGTAAACAAAATAATAAGCTTGTAATTAATAAAATTGAAAGTATCTTAAAGTGTTTTTGATGTGTTTGAATATTTTTTAATAACAAAACGACACTTTAAGGTAACAATATAATATTCATAAATGCTAATGCTATTTAGTTCTCGACGTCGCTCGTAGGTGGCAAGACAATAGCTATATCTATATAACAGTCATAAAAGACGCAGTTCCGCTACTCAGTCTCTTTGTCGCGAATTAAGGCAATTTTCTGAACGCCGGAAAATAAAATAATAGCCTTCCCATTAGCGTCCCCCCTCCCCCTCCCTCCCTCCCTCGCCCTCATCCCTCTCGCTCGCTAATCGTCGGAAATGAATTTGACGTTTCTCCGCGCGCTTTGACTGGAGCGAGACTCGTTCCGCGTCATTTAACGTCGCGCACGCATCGAGCCGAGTACAGACGAGACACACACACACACACACACACAGGAGATAGGAACACACGCACACACACACACACACACACACACACACGATACAGAGATGAACATAATGTGGATCCATGAGGTTATCACATGAATCACTTTAGATATCGATAGAAACCTTTATAGCTTAAGAAGATGATATACATACAATGATGACGTCACAAATCATATTAAAAGATAAATATAATTTGGCAGCAGTTCACTCCTTCAACGATACTTGTACATATTTTAAGTTCAATGTTATGAGTATGTCCGTCTTATCATGTAAGTTACCTTAGTAAGAGTCATGAGTGAGGAGGTTCAGTGAGTGTCGGCGTCATGTTAAATAAGGCGAACTAATAGAGGTGTAATGTGTCGAGTGTGAGAGTGGGGTGACGACGAGCCGCGCTACACTGTCATTATAAAGAGTCAGACTGACACAGACAGACAGACAGACTAGAGGTACTACAAGTATACATACCTATACACACCACCACGGCTTAGCGAGCGGTCTTACATTTAATCTTTCGATTTTACCGAACTACATACAATTGATACAATTAGTTAAAATTGTTTCACTTAAGCTATGTTATAATGTTCAATAATAAATGTTCAATATATAATATGTACATCTAATAGAAAGCTTTAACAATAGATAATCATCACACGTAAAGACCTACAAATACTTGTTTGTAATGGGATGTTATGAACATTTGTTGAGCTTCCTATTGTAAGTGTAAGAGAACTAATACATTTTATTAAATTTCAATAAACCCCCTCTAATTATTTAAATTGCGTTTTGACGATGTTCGTGAAGCATTTAATCGGGTAATCTTCTATATATATAAAAATGGATTGCTGTTCCTTAGTCTCGCTAAAACTCGAGAACGGCTGAACGGATTTATCTTATCTTAATCTTGAAATGTTTGTGGAGGTTCAGGGAAGGTTTAAAAGGTGAGAAAAATTGATTCATTTCCCGGAAAACCCTAAAAACAGCCCTTATCTATTTCCCATACAAATGTTTTCTTTGACATTAGATTTGACAACTAACTAATATGTCAATCATTCTGTTTGATTGAAACAGGAAAAACCTGATTATTTATGGCCTCTAGGACGGAATAGAGTTCGCCCGGTCAGCTATACATATATTACTAATGATGAAATTAATGCGGACGAAGTCGCGGGCAAAAACTAGTCATAGAAAAATGTCTTCCATTGTTTTAGAAAAGAGATGATAGTACAGAGTTGGACCGATACTAAACAAACATGATGAGGACCAGGGCACGGGAACGGGGTTACAAATGAAAAAAAAAACGCATCGAAATCGGTCCATCCCTTTATGAGCGACGATGACGACACACATACACACACACACACACTTTCTTCTTTCTGCTTGCGCTGCATACACTTCAGTGATATTTTGAAACATTTAATAACCTTGTATGTAATACACGGCGGTCATTCTGTTGTAAATAATATTTATTATTTAACTATAAGTTTATTTCTCCGTATCGTCTGTTACCTCTCGTCCCTACAAGCTTCAGTTCAATCAGTTTGACTTTTATTGTATATTAGCTTTCCGCCCGCAGCTTCGCCCGCGTGGAGTTCGGTTATATCGCGTTTCCAACAGAATCTATCAAAAGTCTGGGATAAAAACTATCCTATGTTCTTTCTCAAGGTCAACTCTATGTCTGTACCAAATTTCATTAAAATCAATTCAGTGGTTTAGGCGTGAAAGCGTAACAGACAGAGTTACTTTTGCATTTATAATATTAGTAGTAGGGATAATATTTAACCAAATTCGAAGCTGCACTATTTAAGTTGTATTTAGTAGATGTATTTATTACCTTTCTCTTTAATAACATGCGACCATTTTATTTTCTGGTACAATGTAGTTACATATTATAACTCTCATAGTGTTAGTTGTTCTGTAGGTCGTGGTCCACAGACGGCTGGTCACTATACAGTCAGACTGACGTGTTGATAGGAGGACTTGTTATGTTATATAAAGATACACCACAATATACAACTCAAATGAAGGAATCATGAGCTTGAAGTTGTTTTGTAAATACATTATGTCTTAGTACGTTAAATATTCTTAATTTTTCATCGAAATTATAAGAAGATTGTATGAGATCCGTTAGTTAGATATGTCAGTAAAGTATTAAACTTATATTACAGTATAACATATAACGTGTATATTAGTATACATATATTATTATAATTTTTAAGTACTATCTCATATTATAGCGTGTAGTGTTCATTGTGAAGGCGACCAACACTTATAAAGGAATTATAACTACAGTTAGCGGTACATTCGTTGTTGCGTGTAACGTTTAAAGCATGTAATATTTAAACAGTTGTTTTTTTTTATAATATAATAACCCCTCACCCCTCGCCTGGTCTCAGGTCCCGAGTTTCTTTCATCATGATCAGCTTATCCGTGCATCTGTAACGTGATCAATTAATTCTCTAAATCTTTATTTTCCAAAATAGATTAAATTTTTTTAGTGTTTCATACTATGAGTTACTGTAATCGCTGTTTTTCTGATACATTTAATAATCATAATTATATTAATTTCCGTTTCATTTCATAGTTCTTGTGTACAGCATCTAATATACTTTTAGTCGTTATTTATAAGTTTTTAGTTTTATATTCGCTCCCGCTCCCGCTTCTGCTCGTAGTCTCTCCGCTACTCGCTGTGTTCTGTATACTTATCCTAATACCGAATCACGATAAACTCATAATAAAATAAAAAAAGAACCGACTCCGATAATAATAAATCTAGACCTGATTAATTACAAATGTAGGTATTTAATTTAAAAAAATCACTATTGATAGCTACTTTATTATCACTACTGTGAATCAATCATCAGCCTCGTAAAATGTACTTCTTTAAAGTTTTTTTTTTCTGAGAGACTCGAAACTATATACCTATTATAGTCTTTAACAAAAGATAATAATGTATTGATGACGTGTAAGCAGTTTATTTATAAGTACTTTAAATATAATTTCAAGTTGACTTAGCTTTAATCATGATAATACTCTGAACCAAGCTTGAAGCCAACACATGAATTTAAATAATAATTGTTGTTTTATTGTAATCGGATGTCGAGGGATTACTAGTAGCTTGTGTGTTGTGAGATTATAGTTAATGAATATTAAGACAGTGTTCAGTGTGACGAGTGACGCTGGTGGAGGTAGCGAGGACTTCTGGGAACAATGACACACACTTAAGACTCGACTTAAATCTCTTAATGGGTTGCTATAGTTTTTTATAAAGATGACTGTATTTAAATCTCTTCATCTCTGCTCGTTATTTATTCTATCAGAGCTATGATTGTGTATGAGATGTCTATATTGTTATGTTATGATCATATTTTTCATATATTTTTTATTTAATATCGGTCGTATCGTATGTTCTCTCTATGTTAATGTTCTGTACGAGGCACGTCCGTTCTCCGTGGCGTGTGTCGCCTCTCTGTCAGGAGGGTGTCGGTGGAGCTGAATGTTTGTTCGTCAGCCAATGATGTTATAGAGGCGTGGTCTGATATGAGAGAACGAGCCTCGACAGAAGGCTGTAGAGGAGGGCGGGTCGAACGGAACGACGAGCTAGGGAGCGCAGTCACAGAACGAGTGTAGGGTCGCGAGGACGGACACACGGACACACGGACACAGAGAACATCGATGTGTGTAGTTGACGTTCAAGTGATAGTATAGTAACAGACCGTGTAGTGAGTGAGTGAGGAGGCCAGGGACCGGCTGCATCATGACCAGCTCGAGACGGACCGCTTACACCATCGACAGCATCCTGGGACGACACGACACCGGTACGACACACGACACGACACACATATACCTTATATACATATTATATACTGCCCTATTATTAGTTAGTTTGATAGTTAAATCAAAAAATATATATATACTTAAAAAGTAAAATATTCCACTTAAATCAGAAAAATGAGTTAAAACATATGTATTTTTTATATGATATATGCTTACACACATATGTATATATTGTTGTAATGATGGTCATCATAACTTGATCATAAAAATATATCGGATCTGTTCAGATATGAAGAGTGAATATAAAGAGCATTAATGGATAGAACATATATTGTACTAAATAATATATTATATTCATATATTCATGACCCACACTTACACTGTGTTAAATATTACAAGAAATCATTTGAAACACGTTCCTGTTATATATATTACAAATAATGAATGGTCTAACGTTTTATAATTAATTAATTGTATAAATTAGATATATTTCAGTTATTTCCTAAATTGTTATTGTTATAATAATTTGAAGTTAATTGCCTTAATTAGTAATCTTAAAACATGGAATGACCACTTGACGTAATTAAAAATTATAATATACCTAATATATATTTAATTTATAAAGTATTCATATCATTAATGATGTCGCAATAGAATTAAAAACTTGGAAAACAATATAACAAGTATTTCTTGTGTTGTAATAACTTCTCTCACACCGTCAGTGAGACACATCGTGTAAAAGACTTCAATGCGCTCTCCGTCTGTACTGAACACGACGCGAGCCTTCTCTTATAACGTAGTACGGACACAACACGTTCCTGACGGTGTGCAGGGCGGCCGACACGCGGACTGTAGTTATTAGATACAACTCAAACAGATATTAATATTAAATATTAAACAAACGAGCCGCAGAACTAATATGAGACGACCCCCGCCGGTACACTGAGCAAACAATAACACGACGAGGACAAACTATACACGCTAGAACGGACCTTCACACTAGGGGACAAGGGTCAGGTTAGCCTGTAGTAGTAGAGTAGTGTGGTGTGGTGGAGGTCGACAGAGGATCCGTTCATCATGCCGCGCCACTGAGTCTGAATGGAGGCCGCTGTTGTTGGGAGACGCGAGGCGCGCCTGTATAATACTTGTTGTATATTGTTGTAATATTTATAATAAGACTCTCACACACACTCACACTCAACTAACCACCCGCAGGGAGCTCATGCCTCGGCGATCATACTGATAGTTTGAACGTTACATAGTAACATACCGTCTGATGAAAAAATGTTTATTTGAAAGAAGAACGACTCATAGAGAGTCATATTGAATCATTATCGAAAAATTTACATTAAGTCCTTTCGATCTCGAGATAAGGTGCTTCCAAACAAAATTATTAAGATGAGAAATATATAGAGTAAAGAAAGGAGAGATACATGATGTGTCTACACTAATGAGTGTTATATATGTTGATGAGAGACCCGGCCGTGTGATAAGCGGCTCCTGGAACATTCACTAGACACTGATTAATTATTGGATTGATAAAATATAATTATAAATGACACTAGAGTAATACACGAAGACAACGAGAACGGTTTAACGTTATCTTAGAGGAAGGTTGAGGGAATATGTTAATTGTTAGGTAGGTTTAATTATGACGATATGTGATGGTAGGAGGTTGGTGGTGGGTGATGAATGGCTAATGACTCTCTTTTTGATAGATGAACGATAAACATATGAAATTAACAAAAATGAGCAACTTAAAAACATACCACATATGACATCGTATAATGTAATGTTATAAAATGTTGTGACACTATCAGTAATATGTAAACGGTGTGAAGGATGCACACAGACGACACGAACAGGTCTATACATAAATAACTAGTTTTTGCCCGCGACTAGGTTCGCGTTAATTTCGTCATAAGTAATATATGTATAACTGTTTAAAATTACGTACATATATTATTCAAAATCTCTAAATATATTTAAAAAACGATTAAGAACCCCTATATTAGATAATTTCACTGATCTTGTTTTGTATCACTACTGTTTATTATTTGTAATCTTAATTGTTGTTATAATTTTTTAAATTTCTTTTATAAGCGAACTTTGTTTTTTTTGAAAATAAACTTCTTTAAACCTAACTGTCCGGGCGGACTGTATTCCGTGATAGAAGCCATAAATAATCAAATATTGAAATTTATTACATTCTTAATTATTTTTTTCGAACAGAATTAAATATCCTATGTCCGTCTCCTGGTTCTAAGCTATCTCTCCACTAATTTTCAGCTTAACCCGCCGAGCCGTTCTTGTGTTATAAACTAACAGAACTTTCTCTTATATTAATAGGCGTAATGAAGTTATATTTTGAATAATATTAAGTCATTGGTTCTAATTTAAATCGTCTTAAAACATATATTACTACATATATTGCTGATGACTCAGGAAACCAAAAACGGTTACTTTCCACAGATTGAAATAATTTGAGTTTAAAATTGTTATTGAAGAGTTCGTTTGTAAGAAATATATGTTCGCGAATCACAAGGAGACATACATTAAACATGTATTAAGGTGTGTGTCTGTATGTATGTATCAGATACACTCACCGAGCTTCCAACATTCGAACAACGTATGATCTTTATAAACATATCAAAGGTTCTTGTTTCAAAGAAAAATTTACTTGTCCTCTTATAAATAAAGTCCGCTGAAGAAACATTGAACAAGGAGCGATATCGTTATGACAGATATTTGAAGTGGCAATTTGATAGCATTAGTATAGACCCGGACGAGCTGGGAACAGAGAACTGACTGAGAATATACAGAGACGAGACGTGTAGTGTAGTGTATGGAGAGGAGGATTTATAATAATATGAGTATTAGTTAAATGATAGTCACGGAGTATGGCCAGTCGCCGCAGGAATTACTGCTCTAATCAAACAATAATAAATTAAATAAACCAGTTTAAAGTTCTATCTGGCTCGAACAGAACCCACGTTGATCAGTTTACATGTCCTTATAATGTTATTAATATATTTTAATCCGTGTTCGTGAGTTCTTTCATTGAGCCGGGACCCTAATAGTTACGAGCCGACTCACATCATAATAATGTTGAACTAAATGTTGTTGTAATCTGCGAGGTACCGGTAATTCCTGGTAACAATTGTAACAAAATAGTATTACTATAAATAAATAGTGCGAGTAACGTCGAGTGACGTTAAGTGCTTAACAAAAAGCGTATTTTGTTTGCATTCGTCGGTAGGACGCGACCTCCGATATCCCCCGGCTCGTCGCTCGCACGAAACAGGACTCTATTAGTATGGGGGTAGGGTTGAGGTCGAGGGGCGACGGAACGTAATTAGCGAGTTTAAAGAGCAGAAGGGTGGTAATTCGGTATTATCGAGGGCTGCGTGTATGAGGATTAAGAGATCGATGTCATGACACGGAACGAGCTGGGAACGAGCTGGGAACGAGTCGGCCGAGCTGTGGCGGAGGAATGTATGTGAGGCTGCACCAGGAACACACTAGACTTGTAACGTTATATGCGATTTAGAATCTTGACGTTGTATTGACATTTATACGAGTATGGGGATGTTGAAGTACAGGGTGTTGTGGGAAGTTACTGAAGGCGTCAAATACATCTCCTTTGAGACGCTGCGGTGTAGTTTACAGATGCTCCTTACAAAATGCAATCAAATAATAGCACAGTAACATTAGAGCTATTTAAATATCTCAATAATATGTACATGTATCTTTTGTATTATAACTACTTTAGCGTCAACAGAGACTGTGATCATGACTGAATACGTTTCTGTTTTGATCATATTAATTAATAATATATGTATTTTCTTAGAAGGCGTCGAGTTGAAAAGCGAAGGCGTGCACTCTGACTCGGATCACGAACACGAACACGAACATGAACACGAGCACGAACACGAGCACGAACACGAACACGAGCCGAACATCGAGCCGGGACGAGCAGATCACGAGCCACTAGAAGCACTTGACGCCGGGAGACCACGCAAGGTAATTTGCTACATGTGTTGACTACGATATGTACTTTAAACGTATCTTGTGTTCTAGAGATTCCATGAGTTAGTAAATTAAAAACACATTATTAATATATTAAGTGAAAGTAGCTGAAACGTCGGGAGTAGGTAGTGTTTTACAAATATAAAGCACTCCTAGTATATCGGACAAATATTAGTTTAATTTAAATGTATATAACTCGCTAAAGTCGTAGATCTCATTCTGAGTACTTGTCATATTGTTATACCTAATAAGTCCTAGTTGTATATGAATGTGTGGTGTGTTTGTTTGTTCTGTATCTAGTGTGTGTGTGTGTGTGAAAGCAGGTGCGCCGCAGTCGGACCACCTTCACCACCTACCAGCTGCACGAGCTGGAGCGAGCCTTCGACAAGACTCAGTACCCGGACGTGTTCACGAGGGAGGAGCTCGCGCTCAGGCTGGACCTCAGCGAGGCGAGGGTTCAGGTCAGTTGGATACACATACACGAACATACGGAGTAGTTAATAATGTAGGACACCTAGTAGGATGAGTGAACTTAGAACGATGAAAAGTTAAAAGTCTTTGAAGTTATATAACTGAACGATGATGTTATAGTTACTCACAACCTTCTGGTCGCTTATCATCCTGTATCATGATCAACTAACTTCCTTTAGACCAGATTTCCTCAAAGTTGATAATAAGAATCTCTTTCTAAACTTTTAATAATCGTTAAAAGATGTATTTGAATGTAAGAATAATATAAAATGCAATATTAATGACAGCGTCCAATACAACATATGTATATAGTAAACAAGTATTGCTTTCGGATCTGATTCAAATCTACTCGAACGTTTAATGTCTTTTATAATTTGTTAAAATTTAAAATTGTTGATTTCCCGGTAAAGCCAATATAAGCTGTAGATGGATACGAAATTTGTATTATTAATATGAAGTGTTATAAACTATTATTATGTGTTATCTTTTTATTTTCATGTTTTGTACATTACGTTACGTATTTAATACATTACAAAAAAAAAACAACTATTCCCTATTATAATATTGTAAGTCACAAAAGTATGTAAAGATTTCCTCATTTTTTAAATAATTATATAAAGTAACAATGAAGTTTATTTTTGCATGGAGTTGAGTTCTAGTTTTATTGGTAGGAGACGAGTATACAGTAACAGAAACGAACATAATACATACTTAAACTTATTAAAGGAACTCTTAAATTATATCTAATGTATAATTTCACATCTCGTCTGTCCGTGATCACGGTTGCTGTAAAGTAACTAAAACGCCGGGAACATGTAGTTTTTAACAGAAATAAGAACGCGTAATATAATCCGAAAAATATAAGCTTGATTTAGATGTCTAATTTTTATTATATAAGGTATTTTCTAATCCGATATTAATCTTTTCATAAATACTTAGCCTCTATTATTACATACTATCGTGAGACTTATAAGAGCAGAAAGTTAAAAAAAACAGGGATTCGTTTAGAAGGAAAATAAAATATAAAGAATACGTTTTTTTATGCAGTGTGTGTGTTGGTCGATCACATCTAGTAACAATATCAATAATAATAATAGTAATAATAATTTTGAGTAACTCTGCACTTTCGTTTGGTGAGATCTGTATAGAGATACAATTCATTGAGTCACAAGTGATTCGGCCTTAAGTTAAACTATTTGACTATCACCCTTCTCGCGTCGACTGTTTCATGATCAAAAAACACATTAAACATATTATAAAGATGAATGAAACAAAACGTTTTATTTTACTTTCAAATGGAGGATTATCTGGGGAAGTATAATAGTAAAATATGAAGAAAAAATGTGACACCAGTGAGGCGACTTTTTACAATATTATTTTATTACGTAATCGTGTACCTGAAATAATCTCGGCCAGATTGGGTCAATTGACTGTTCAGTAAATAATTTAGAAACAAGTGTTCAGTGTTATATGTAGGACACCTTCTCAAGTATGTCGTACATGTTTGATGGACATCGGTCCACAACCTATATCTCATATTATCGTGTGATATTTTAGTCGGAAATTTGATAAAATGAATGAAAGTAAACGTAACAGTTTCAATTATAAGCTAATAACATAATATAGTAGTACGCCCATTTTTAAAACATTAACGTTTCATTAGTTGTGTAACCGTAGCGGTATTTCTAATATTAATATTAATTTGTTCTCCGTGAACTCCGCGGCGTGTTCTTGTTAGTTCATCAATCGATCGTCTCCTTGTCATCTCGTTTATTACAACTGTTTAATATAGAAGTAGTCTTACTACATCGTACTGGATGTTAACTCGTTCTAACCTGCTGCTACACACACTACACGTGTGATAATCATCATCAGTAATAATAATAATAATATCGTCTGTCTGTTCACACACCACCAGCCTCCAGCCTCAGGTCCAGACCTCGTGAGTGACGTCACAGGCGCCCTCTATAATTAACATTAGCTTCATTGTCCTCACACAATCGCACAGATTGAATCGCTTAGAGCAAACCGCAGTTCGATGACATGTTTGTCATCATCGATGGAAATCAGAGATCGTTTCAACAGAAGCTACCCTGTTGATGCAAATAAAAAATAGGGCATATTTAATTATGTGTTAAATTATTTCAAAAGATTTGGCAAACGAAGAAGTGACGGCAAGTCTAGTGTTACATTCGGATTACAATCATTGTAGCGACCGACCTTTACCTATCATTTTAGTTCGAGGGCTGTGCTGGCGACCGACGCTAAGAATGTTTAAACCTGATGTGATTACTCTAACATCGTGCGGTCTACAGATGTTCAGATCACCTCAAGTCAGTCAGCGTTATTCATATATCTTTACAGTTATGTTTCTCATTTATTTCCTTGGAACCCATACGTTCCTCTACTCCTCGGATTGTGTTGTCTTGTTCGTAGTTTACAAGTTTTCTATATATTATTAAATTTTCAAAGGCCGGGTGAACAATCAGGCGATAGATGTTATCCGTGGAGAGCCGGGGCCGGAGGCTGGCGGCGGCCGGTCCTCTAACAATGGTTTAATTAAGCACGGTTTGAGCCAGAGAGCTCTCAAACTGCAGTTAAAGTGAGCGCCGCTGCAATTTGGTAATTACCGACTCCGTGGCTGTGGGGGACGGAAGGGAGCGGGGGGAGGGAGGGAAGGGGGGAGGGTAATCTCGCGGCCTCGAGAGGCAGTCGGCAATGCACAGACAATAAAACACTTTAATATTTCGCAGGGCTGTATACTGCTAATGAGGAATTCATTTCGGTCATTAGATGCTCTTACCGTCGTATTTCTTTAATTGCAGTTTAGTTGCAGTTTTAAGATTGGCCCTTGTGACTCGTGAGCTTGAAAACTTTAAGACGGATTCCTAATTGCTATGTTTTAACGTGGCATTAGACCGTTTCCAAGATTTCTTTAAGCTTTTCTTGAGTTTCAAGTTTTCCACAGAAAATTTACACTTCCATAGACCAACAACAAAGTGTTTTTATATTTTGATCGCGTCATCACAGAGACTATATTATTATCGTTGTTGCAAGTTATGTGTCTGAACTATATAATATAAGTATATATAATGTGTTCGGTAGCAGCCCTATCGGTGATCGAGCAGGGAGCCGTTCTTGAATCGCACTCGAACGAGTGTAAATTGCTTTTAATCTCCGCGGAGGGCGGTGTAACAAACAAGCGACGCCACGCTATAAACCATTGGCATGATGACGTCACGGCTCAGGTTTAGGATGCAATCGAGCAAAGAATGGACGCGTTACAGAGCGAGGAGAGAGGAGCGGCTCTCATACTAGGAACAATCAGACGTCGAGCACTGCGCGGGAATTGAGAGCATTCACAATCGACTGTTTTAAAATATGAGCTCGAATTAATTGAACTGCGTTAAGGATCTTTAAAGTAATTGCGATGTTGTTAAGGATCAATTATTTATTATTTTCTCTTTCAATTTTACCATATTATATTTCTGATAGTTATTTTTTCTCTCAATAAACTGTTAATGTGTATATAGACAACGGTATATATGTGTATCCCAAAGAAATATTAGTAAAGTCATATTTGGTAATTTTTACCTGAATACTTTTATCAAAGGCGATATGTACATGATTACTTTTTTTTGTAGATGTCGTCATATCTTTCACACGTTAGGATCAATATGGTGTTTGTCAATTTTAATAAAAGGTACAATACTCGTTTAATATATAAGTACCTACAACACAACATGAATACATCGCACCATGATGACCTCTCTCCAGTAACACCCTTCCTTGTAATACATTTAATTTAATTACTCCTCTATATATAATCGCTCGGTCAGTAATCGCCGGGCTCCGAGTCGCTCGACATGCGCTCATTCGTGAATTATGAAATGACACATTTTTGCCTTTCGTTCGTTACAATGTCTTTTTATTAGCGCGATGCTCGACTAGCTCAATTTGTTTCTATTCTCCGACCGGCGTCAGTGGAATTTAATATTTCAGTTGAGGCTTTAAGGTCTAAACTCGATTGTGGCGGACGGCGCGCGAAAACCACGTATGCGTAATTGCTTTTCATTACGGCCCCATTGTAGCGGAGAGCCGGCGACAAATTGGCGACAATTACGACATGAAAAAAATTAAAACTCGAGTGGAGACTTCTGCTCTCCTCCGTTAATATTACTAATTACTTGTAGAAGATTACTCGTTGGAGTATTGGATGTGGTTGGAGGTCATGTATGTATGTGTGTCTGTTCAACAGGTGTGGTTCCAGAACAGACGAGCCAAGTGGCGCAAGAGAGAGAAGGCGCTGGGCAGAGAACACGCGCCCTTCATGCACCACGAACACGGTGAGGAGATACACGCACAAAGACACACACACACACACACAAAGACACACACACACACACACACAGACACAGACACACACACAGACCGGCTTAACAAAACTAACGTAACATGAAGGTTCAATGACCTGTGACAGCGACACTGACACCATCAGTAAGTGTCGCTGATAAACATCTTGCAACAGATTTAACAGGTTTAATTGAACTTTAATGTGTATATTTGAGGTTCGTTCAGTTTGTCACGAGTCATTAACAGAGCGAGGGGAAGTTCCGTTAATGGTTTTTATCAAACTAACGTATTATTATAATCGTATTATTTATCAGTTTACTGTATCATGTGAATGTATCGTCGGTGTAAGGGAAGGTGTCAGGTGTCATGTGTCATGTGTCATGTGTCGGACACACGTCTCACCTGAAGCTGTTATTATTTCAACCGTGATTTCAATAAATGATGACTATAATAACACCTCCATGAGACGCATACATGGAACGGCGGCGTGTCCGTCTGTGTGTGTGTGTGTGTGTGTTGGTGGGTGTGTACATATGATGATAATATCCATTTTAAATTTCATTTCTCACTTATCGTACAGCCTCCGTCCTCCCGGTGTCATCTTCTCCTCTTGTCTCCGGGCGGCTGGGGCCAGGCGAGGCTCATAACTATTATTAAATAAGTGAAGGGATTCATATTTATATTTGGTGTCCAGGTGTAGGTGAGTGGGGCGGCGGTATGGGCGTGGGCGTCGTGGGCGGCGTGGGCGTGGGCGGCGGAGAGTGGTGGCTCGGTCTGGGCGCTCCACTGTGGCACGACGCGCCTCCCGCCGCAGCCTTCAGAGCTCTACTTCACAGGTACGATGACGACCGCGAAACAAGATAAACATTGTAAACAAATGTAACGATGAACACTGATCATTGACTTGAGGGAGTTCCCGGACAAGTATTACATCTTAACATGAGATATAGCTTAGTTTCAACTTATTTTAGTCTCATGTGTCATATGTCATCTCTCCCCCAGGTACGTCCTGGCGCTCCCCCCGCCGGCCGCGCCCTCACCCCCTGCCCGCTCGCCACCCCCCTCCCCCTGCCCCTCCTCCCGCAGCTCGCCCCCCCGGCCGGCCGGTCCATTGGCGCCCGCGCCGCTGTCGGAGCCTCTACGCCTGCTACACGACCGCTACAGCCGCGTACACACGTAGCCCTTCTACATGTAAACGTTGCTACGTGACGGTCTACGGGATGGTCTACGAGACGAAGTAGTAGAAGTGAAGTGACCGAACACTGTCAGATGTAATGTGTATGTATCATGTTAGTGTTAGTGAAGCTCCAACAACAGTATTGATCGTTAATATAACACACGTCCTCCTCATGTTCTCACAAACTGAATCCTTCTCCACACGGACTTGTATGTATTTCTTGACCCTGTATCTGTAGTTAATATAACTGTTAACTGTGAGTATAGTCGTTCGCGTGCCTTAACGTTTAAACATTTCATTTGACCTGTCTCACGAGTCCTAGTCTCGCTCCAATAGTTATATGAATCTGTAAATAGGCCGTCGGTAGCTGTTGTAAAATATATTTTCTGTAAAAATATGTAAGTCTTGTAAATGTAAATAGTGTAATATAATGAACTCCTTGGAAGTATTAGTGTGTTAAGTTGCAGCGCGTCCCTCTGGTCAGAAGGACGCCGCTCGTGTGTAACATGTAGAAGTTATTTATTGAAATGTAGTGAGTTTTGCAATATGGTCTGCCAATAAACTAGATGAGACTTATTGACTTGTTTCATTCACTACCCGCTCAATGTGTTTATAACTACCCTCCACTCACCTCACACATATACTTAACATAACAACAACACACACAGATACTATCATCGTCCAACTACTCACTCTATATATAATTAACATCTTCATTATAATACATCACACAGTTCATTTCTCTCCTCTGTATGATCTATTGTTCTGTTCTCCTTCAACTTCCCTCCCCTCCTCCCTCCTCCCTCCTCCCTCCTCCTCCTCCTCCCCCGTTCCGATCAGCAAAAGATTAAATTTGCGTCTCGCAACAAAGACTAAGTGTTTGAAGAAAGATTAATTTGGGAAAAATTGGACGGGGCTAAGCCCACTTACTGGCGCACACCCGACCGCAGTGTTTAACGTATGATACACAATAAACACCCTAACTCCTATGTCAATAAGAGCGGGGATCAAGTGAACGGATTACTCGCGGGGTTGACTGTACCCGCTCCGTAAGTACTCGATGCATACAAAGAACGCGCTCGTCATTTTTAACTATCGGACTTTATAAAAGTACAAGTTCCAATACGTACTCAACTTTGGATGTACCTTTTTACTTATCGAGGGTATTATTATAATAAAAAGGATTTATGGAAGTTACTTCCAGAAGGATTACGTTCTTTATTAAACCGTTTACAAGGAGGCAGGAGTGAGCCCGGTTCGAGTTTATGTAATAGCATTTAGCAGCTTCATAATAACATCTACTTACACTTACAAGCTATTGATACGAGCATATACGAAGATGAATTAAACCAGAAGAAACCGTAATATTTGACGTAGCATTATTTAAATAAAACATATGTAATTCCTTTAATTTTGTAATCTTTGTAAAAAACTAACAACATCAAAGAACAGTGAAATCGTTTCAATAAATTATTAAAAGCCATCATAATGACAGTCGGAGTATGATTCGCTGGTAGGAGCTGTCTGTCTCACACTAACATAGATTATTATATATATATAAAAGAAAGTCGTGTTAGTTACTCCACTTATAACTCAAGAAAAATTGGCAGGGTTTAGAGCCAGGAAATTGCAATAGGATACTTTTTTATCCCGTTCGATAGCATTCGCGTGGGACTTGACATGAAACATCAGTCACTATAAAACATGGAATAACAAAACACAATTGACAGCTATGCAATTGACGTATAATGACGGATATGTAATGACGTAATGATGACAATTAGATATTTGTAAGAGATCTACTATATAAAAATAAGTCCGGTTTCCTGACGCTATAACTTCAGAACGAACGAACCAATTTCCACGGTTTTGCATTCGTTGGAAAGGTCTCAGGTTTCGTGCATGATACATTGTTTGACAGCTACTCATTGTTCTCTTCTCAGTTAATTTCATGTGACAAACGGGTATTGTGTTTGTAGTTTAAACTCTTAAAACCATTTAGTATTTGCGGGATAAATTTAGAAAATCATTGTTTTTCACATGGGCGTTATATTTTGCGCGTTTACGAGTTTGGAAACCATCCGCCTTATGTGTGTTAAAGTTAGACCAAAAAACAAAAAATGTGGTTTACAATGCAGCACTTCAATGAAACGGATAATAATTTGCGGACACGTACAATGCTTCGATTCGGTATCTACTTTGGATTCACTTTCATTTACTTAGAGAAGTTCAACTAAATAACACTTCATTTTTGTAATTGAAATGAATTCATTACTGTTGTGAAATGAAATAAATTTTCCTTTTCAAATATAAAACAAAAAAATTCTTCATCTTTTAATCACCAAATGAAATGTTATATAAAAGCCTTCTGGTGGCGAAACGGAGTTCGCCGGGTTTACTAGTTATTATTATAAGAGCACACTGACAAAGGTCAGTCAGAACATAACATACATATGTATGACATAATAATAAAGAATCAAAACTGTTATTAAAACTTTTACTCGATTAACGATATCATTATTTGGTGATGTTCAATGTGAATCCAAGTGGGAAATCAATTATTAATATTTGATTTTCATTCTTCAGTCGTTGCAATTTAAGTCAGTGTTCATGTTATACCGTTAGCTCTGTCATGAATGAGTGGTAATATAAGTTAAAACCGGTCAGTTAATGTACGCCACTCTCTGATCGACCCTACTACCTGACCAGCTGTAATGCGACACAGACAGACGAACGAAACAATTTAAAGGACGTTTAGTGACACTTTAATATTAATATGAAATATACACAAAGAAATTAAATACATTGTTGTCTATATCTCCATTATTTTATTAATGCCATATGTTGACACAATATTGTTGAGAATCTCACTGGCTTACCGGCCAGATATTAAATTAATAAAGAGGTGATACACTACAATTAATATTTAAACAATAAAAACCTACAATTGGACAACCGTCAACCCTTTCATAAATTAATCATATTTATTTTTAACTTATAATATAATCTTTCATATTATCTTTGTAGTATGATGGTGTCACCTCCCCCTTCTCCCTCCCCCTGGTAGTGATGGTTCACATTTCTTTGTGTCGTCTGTCAGTCCGTCAGCGACAGGAGTCGTATACAAAAAATGTAATTACTTCACCAACTGCATACTTATAAGGATTCTTACACACACACACACACACACACACACACACACACACACACACATACTCATACATTGTACATTACTACATAGAGATCAAGCAGTAGGTAACATTTAAAGGCCACACGTGAGACACAAACGACATGATAATTGAATGTTTCCTATATGTTGTCATTATATCACATTACTTTTTTATCAAATCATTTTCTCATACTGTACAGGTAAAGTGGTACGTCTATAACTGATAAATTATTTAAACCATGTAAACCATTTATTTGCTACACACATACATTACATAGATTAAAGAGAAGAAAATAATTAAATTTAAAGAATACAGTGTAGTAGCAAAGGGGTTCATCTCGGTTCTCAACTACACACGAACACATATTTATTCCTATCTACTGGCTCATCATCTCTCGTCCATTCAGCGTAGTATTTTCAAGACATACTAAGTACATATATTATTATAAAAATCTCTCAAACTTTCTAAATTAATTATGATTATATATTTTATAATCATCTGTTAATATCACACCGCTCTAACCAACTGTGTACTCGTCATATCAATCTATTTATCTGCCTCGGATCTGTTCGGGTCCCGGCGGGAGGAGGGGGGGGGGGGGGTGAGGGGGGGTGGTGGAGACGTCATGAACTGACTCTGACACGATCATTGTTGTAGATCTTAATTACAGACTCCGCAACCCGCTAATGAACTACGACTCAACATTATAATAGATAGTTAGTTTGATTTGGATTTATTTTAATACTAAATATAATAAAGACTATTGTATTGAATTGAATATATTATAATAGTAGTTACAGAGAACTAGAGGTGATGATGATGATGATAACATATGATACAAGTGAACGGTCTCCGCTGACATCACACATACAGTGAAGCTGCTCTAATATTTATATGAATGAAGAATCATCACAAGTATATTCTATATAGGTATATAGTATTAATAATATATAGGACGTAGCGATCTAATGCGGATAATCACACCCTCATAAAACTAATTTGTTTCCGGAGCCCGCCAACAAACACACGGAGTTTTTCTACCCTTTTAATAAACTCCATCTCTGTACCTTCTGCCGGGTCGTGGTCTGAATGTGACCTCTATGTCTATAGCCGTAAGGTCCACACTCTCCTCCTACAATAAACTCACAAATCGCTCTGAATAAACTAATAAATGTCGAAGCCGGTCGCCGGTCGCCCGCAGATGAAATTATCTTGCGACAGCCGCTTATGAGTGGAATCAATACGCGATCATCGCAATAAAAGCTGTAGATGTTTGTCGACCGCCCCCCCTCCTCCTCCCCCTCCTGCCCCTCCTCCCGTACACCCGGCCGCACCTCACCCCCGCCGGCGCCCCCCGGCGTCGACAATTTGCCCGATATTAAGTTTATACAGCGATTTGTTCCCTTCTTTACACCGGGCGAGAGGAACGACTTACACTGACACGATGACGGACAGGGAATATACATATGTATAGACATATGACATTAATATATTATTATTATATATATATATATATATATATATATATATATATATATACTACGGTTATAGAGATACACGAACATAGTGTAGTGAATAGTCACATTAGAACTGTATAGAATGTTATAATATGTCGAGTCTAACCCTGACCCGACCTCTCCCCTCACTTCAGGTCATCAGTATCCTCGTTGTATATATATGTATATCATCATCATAATGTTACCAGTACATCATTCATCATGTAGGTACAGCCTCGTGTCAGTGTACGTCGCGGTGTCTGCGGCGGTCTCTTCACACGGAACCTTCTGTGCTCGGTGGTTTTATTATTGAAATAAACAATCATCAATAAACAAATTAAACTTTATTAAAACACTCAATTAACTCTCAACAACACCTCTCGCTCACATCCAACCAGACGTATTGTTCGTTCATTATCTTTACTACATCGGACCGGTCGTGTTTCTTTCTCATTTTATTCGACAAAAGCCTCTGTAATTACGCAAAGTCACAACAGACGTGGATTCGTTTTTTGTAAGGCGCGAGTGGCTCGGACGCGCCGCGGTCGGCGGAGACGAAAAAATAAAGAGACCCCTTCACGGAGGTCACAACAAACAAACGTTTACGTCCTTTGTACATGAGACGACTTGAGCGAGCAGGAACAGGCGTGAGAAATGTTATGGAGAGGAGCTGAATGGAGTCATGAGTTAATTCGATTAACAGTCGAGCGAGGCGAGCGGTGGTCGGTGGGAATCGATATTATGATGTGTGTGAGCGTGTTATCAGTAGTATCAGGTGTCCGTTATCATGAGAACGAGCACCTGACGGGGCGGACCCTCGAGCTGACACCAGCAGCTGTCCTGAGGGAGGTGAGGGCATCATGAGCAGGCTGGTCAGCAAACAACACGCACGTGTACATACTGAAACAACACCGACCAACACCGTCGTTACAACATCCCTACTAATATTATAAATGCGAAAGTAACTCTGTCTGTCTGTTACGCTTTCACGCCTAAACCACTGAACTGATTTTAATGAAATTCGGTACAGACATAGAATTGACCTTGAGAAAGAACATAGGATAGTTTTTATCTCAGACTTTTGAAAGGTTCTCTTGGAAACGAGATATAACCGAACTCACCGCGGGTGAAGCTGTGTACGGAAAGCTAGTATTATATACATGTATACATGTAAGACATACATATATGTATATAGTAACGGCTGGAGTAGTTGTTAATGTTTTGGTACCTAAATACTTTTTAATATCTCACGCTTCGTGCTTAAAATATTACTTTATTAATTTTATTAACTTGCTAATTAGTTTCAGCCTAGAAGCCAAGTTTAAACTGTCTGCAACTGTTACTGTGTGTGTGTGTGTGTGTGTTTGGGTCAGAGCGTCTTGGTAATATATTATCGTTATCATTATATAATACTAATGTCTGTCATTCTTGTAGCCCGTCCTGGTTACAACCTGTCAGCTGTAGTGTCACACGACACGCTCACCGTACATTATATACATTACATATTATGATATAAAACAAAATGTAGTGAGGATATAATCACGTACAGAGACCGGCTTTATTGAATTAGATACGTAATGTTAACACAACGAGTGAACTACACGAAGCGGTCCCGGCCGGCCGGCTTCATTGTGTCGTGATAAGGGAGCTCATTACAACCGTTATCATCGTTATCACACTCCATACATTATAATGATTACGCGATAGATTTGATGTAATTTGATATTTTGGCAACTCAATAATAATCCTTTGATTAATTGCTACATTATTATCTGACGGACTGCGCGTGTGTGTGTCAACCCTCTAGTAGCGAGTGCGTCTCTTTACAGTATATATAAAGGGTAACAGTATATTTTTTTTGTATGTAACTTGTAATCAGTCGGCCAACTAACGAGCGGCCACTAATTGATGTCCGTGATACAGGCTGGAACAGAAACAACATCACTCACTATGACATACAAACTGAAACGTTCGATGGAATCAATAGTACTGTAAAAATATTTTTAATTAATAATACTCGTAGTTTGAGTTAAATAAACTTAATATGATAAATTGATATCAAACCAGAACTTCTGATAAAAGGTTTAAATAAGTTAAAGTTTTATAAACATCTGTATATAACAATAAAAAATATAGTCGCTAATTGGTCGAAGTTTTTATAATTGAACCAACCACTCTAATCTGAACTCAACGCACGGACAGACACACAATCAAACTATGATTGTATTGTTTCTTGTTGGAGGTTTACTGGTGACAGCAGCCGCTTACGGAGAGGGAGGTAACAGAAGTGATTTAAACAAACTTAAATATAAGTACTGTAGACAAAATATACGGTGTGGACTATAAATATTTGAAATGACGCGAACAGAACATGCAGGAACCTTCAGCAGAAGGGAAACAGAGACAAAATCATAATATTGTTATAAAAACACAATAATTATGAGAAGTACTAATTAGATTTAAAAAATATAAAATAGTATTTTAAAAGGGACCGAAGTAACGTATTGATTTCACTTAAATATGTACATTTATTATGAAAATATTAAGATTAAAATCCCTTGGATAATGAAAAAATATTAAATTGATTTAATTAATTATTCTTTTCGAGACAGATGATGTATTAAAAACAAACAAGTTTAACGTTTATAAAAAATATGTAGGAAACAACTTAATATATGTTACATGACAGTATCACATGCTACTGGTGGATCAAGAAGAACATCTCAGAATTGATCTCCTGAAAGTATTCGAAAAGTAATATTCTCTTTAAGAATAACAGTAAGGGCGTCTGATAATCCAATTCTCTCATTCTTCTCTTTTTATCACTATAAGTTTCATCTTCTTTTTTTGTCTTTAACTCTCACGAGCGATAGGACGTAGACGGGACTGGATAAATTGGATCAAGTAAACGATTTATTCCTTCATCACCAAGTAGCAGTTGAATGGTTGAGGTCGTGTGTGTGTGTGTGTATACATTAATGTAGTGTGTGTGTCAGAAGGTCGCCGCGGCGGTCCTCTAGCGGGCACGCTCAGCTCGGTGGGAGCCGGCGGAGAACAAGCTCCTCCTGTGTACAGACCGGGGAGTCAGGCGTGAGTACCTACTACCTACATGAACACTATACACAATGTACACTACCCTCACAACAAACATTACATTACATTACCTTCTAAACGCTTTTTATATTGATTAAAACATTTTAAATTAGTTTCAAATCCAACGAGTTGTCAACGTGTTTTATGATCTCCTTATCTCACAAACAGACGAACCTTATATAGATAAATATTTCGTTAATAATACAAAGTAAAGAAATTGTCGGTAATTTATTTGATTTCATCAAATATTTATATTATTACGAGAGCGGCGGCCTCGATGTTTGAAGTTATTTCTTGTTAAGGGAATGTACGTTTTATTAATTTAGTCTCTTGGATCGGATGAACTCGCTTCAGTCGTATTAAATGTATTTCATTGAATAAATAAAGCTCAGAAGAGGCGACATAGATATCGACTGTATGTTAAACTGCTAACTAATTTCTATAGGTACGTAGTATCTCAGTTCGTGAAGCCGAAGCCTCCTCATCAGTACTGGGAGGAGGAGACCTCTCAGTCCCTGGTCCCTGAGAACAGGAACTGTCTGCTGTGTGAGTCGCAGGACTCGGGCGCGTGTCGAGCGATGCCCTCCTGTGTGTACTGTGAGCCGACCGTCACCGCGCTCTGTGAGAGGAGCACGCCCTGCTTACGATGTACCGGTTAGTAGAGTTATTAAGATCAGACTATCATAACAATATATAGTCAGTGGTGGCCTAGTGGTTAAGGCCCCGCCTCTCGTTGCCGAGGGCGCGGGTTCAAACCTTGGCAAGTACCAATGTGATTTTTCGGAGTCATATGTACTTTATAAGAGTATTTAGATATCACTGACTGATGAAGTAAAACATCGTGAGGAAACCTGGACTTATAGTTTCACAATTATAAGTATGAAATCACCAACCCGTCTTGAGCAAGCGTGATGATTAATGCTCAAACCTTCTTTGAGGCCTTGCTCAGCAGTGGGCTCTGATAGGCTGATAGAGTATCACATACAACGAAGAGTGTTATAGTAGTTGTTGTTTCAGTTATAAAGAACCCATTCTTCAAGTGCGTCCCCGGTGAGAAGTACATGGACGAGTGTGACTCGTGCCGCTGTACGGACGGCCACGGCGGCTGGTGCACCAACCAGTTCTGCGAGTTCAGATCACTACACATCTACGCATTGAAACTATCCGACGGAGAGTTCTACTGATAATAACTTATACTATGCTATAACTACTTCCGTATTATCTTTTCCTTTTGTCTTTTTTTATTACTCATGAATTATTAACTTTTACTTATGGTATATATGTTGATTTCAATTTGTTCATTGTTACAATTCGTTACTTCAAAAAGACTATGTAAGAGATCCTGAGTCTATGACTACTTTATTTAATAATTAATTACTTCTGTTTCTGTTTTTATTATTTACATCATCATGCAAAGAATAGCTTGGAAACATTTTCAATATGCTCAATTCATAAAATAAAGGAAACTTATTAAAGTTTTATTCAACAAAAATGAACTAAATGCATTGTTCTTCATTTAACAGTTGAGTAGCTCACAAGAAATGTGTTTTATATGACCGTAAGGAGTACAATTAACTAACTAATATTAGGTACATTATGTTGTGTCGTCGGAAGTAACTCTCTGTTGTGTTTTTGTTCGTTTTAATATTTCAATACGATCTTTGAGAATCGGGATTTGAAAGGATGGAGGAAGTACGTGTAATGGGATGTACAACCGACCACTCGGGTTGATATTCAGAGCATCAACTGATAACTATTACTATAGCAATATAATAAGGTTCCAAATCCTATGTATTTATAATGATGGTCAATAACATTGCATGTGAGGATGACAATGTGCCACCGCATTTTGACTAATTGATACAAATATTTACACAATCCTAGTTAACCGAGCGTTTAATCTTATATCCGGATTTAGAGGACCTTTATCGTCATAACAATAAGGTCGTGAATCGTATATCATCATGTACATTACAGTCTGTGGGTGGCACTCGTCACTGGTCAGTATCTGTTAATCTCCGATGTCTTACAACGAGCCGGTAACTTAACAGATTTTAATTTTCTTGTTAAATTGTGTATTATGTAGGTATCATCTAAGAACATTTGTGTTCTGACTGAAACACTGTTTGTTAATTTATTATTATTCAATTATTTCGGAGAGTAGAAAATAATTTATATTCACAAGTAAAATTAAAAATGTTATCATAGTCAATAAGAAATCCTTTTAATTAATTATAAATTAATTTGGTGAATATCAAATAAAGAAAATATTATTATAAAAATTAATACAAATAATAATTCTAAACCAATATGTTTGTATAGACGATAAAATTTCAATTTAAACATTCAAAGGAGCCGCGGAACGGAAATGTATGTGAGCGATGTTGTTATAATGACGAACTTACTTACTTATTATATAAAGAAATATAAAGAAACGAAAGGTATCGATTACACGCGGCTAACTATACCCTTGTAGCCGCTCAACACACACCTACTGACTGTTACAGTCACTCATTGGATTTTAAACCTTATTACAATGTAACAAGGCTGAAGATCGCCTGAAGTTCATCTTAATTTTTTGTGCAAAAAATAAATAAATACATGTTACTCTATTTCGCATGATTGTACTTTAGTACATTACAATAAGATAGATTTTCTTTTCAAAGACGTTAATAGTATCATAATGTGTCACAAATGTGGTCGAGGACAATTGAAGTAATGGAAACATTCACAATACCGGCTTGTGGAGATACTTGTATGGATGTAGGTCCCGAACGGGATACACCGGGATACACTGGGTCAAAGACGAACCTACTTAAAAATAATAACATGTTTATTGTACTTAATGTTGACTATATTAAACATTATATTATAAGACACAAAGAACATAAACAAATGTATCGTCTTTATATTAATTGTGAGTGAGTATATTCATAAAGCAAATGTTTCTTTTCAGTGAACATTCTCGTGAGTTAATAACCAGAGTGAGTCGGAGCGTATTATATTTTAATATGAACCAATATTTATATATTTTTTTGCGGCTCATTATAGCTCCTCGTGTGTAGTGAGTAGTGCGCGCGCGCAGGACGCCCCGCTGAGATATTGTAGTACACTCATTATAGGGAAGAGAATTATATTACGTGTTCATATTATTATAGATATTTAAAATTTAATAGATTTAAAAACTATTTTTATAAATGTATGTGTTTAGCAAAAAAGAAATATACTTTTTGGTTTCGTTAAACTTGTGTTTACGGACTATATTTTTAAATGTTTTGTAAAGTAAAAATTCTATAATTTCAGTTATTACTCCAGTTATATTCAATTTACAAATCTGTATGGTGGAGTATGTATAAGTCATTTTCTTGACAACATTAAACTATGATACCAATCAATGAACACGTTTGAATCCCATTTTAATTTTATCGTTCAGTATTTATCGATACAACCGCCGCGGTCCATCCCTACGGTCGTAATAACCACAAAATAAATATCAACAGTCCCCTCCCTTAATGTTTTGTTACAATATTTTTGTTCTGTAAGATTAATTTTTACAACATTGTTAGTTATAATACACGCTCATTACATCCTTACACTAGTACCTATACTACTCTTTATATGTGAAAGGTGATTTTTTAATATTTCCTTGTTATAACCGCTACTAGACATTTGTGGTTATAATATCTCTCTCATACCTACAGCAGGCATGAGTTACACTATTGTATATGAATACTTACACATGTTTTTATTATGGTATTAATTTTAATAAAATGCATTTAGTAATACGAGATATTACAAAAAAATTAATGTAAATCATATGAATGCTACATCCTGCGGCCGGACGAATGATCTCTGGTGGTTGATGTCTTTTGAGCGAAATTAAATAGTATTTATTGATTCACGCGTTGGCGAGTCCTTTATATGAAACTGTTTGTTAGAAAAAAAGTGTCCCAAAAACCTCATTCTCACAGGACCGAACAAATGTAGAGACACCCGCCGACATGTCTTATTTAGCGGAAACGTACAATAGAACCTTCAATAAGCCTGTTCTATTATAACATATATATTTTTATATTTTTTGTATCAAACACATCATTTTATTAGTTTGTATAATGTTGTTCTTTTCAAGTACATTCATATAAAGGAACATTGCCTCGTAGTGTCTCCTTGAATTTTTTATAGAATAAAGTCTTTATATCTCGACGACTAAACTGTTTTAATATTTTAATAGACAGGAAGATTGAAGAGGATAAACTAGATGTAACGTGAATAGAGTTTTGTTAAAAATATTTTATATTTGAAGATAAGTAAAACGTATAAAAAGATCGTCTCTTAACACTTACAGAAGATCGATTTCTAAAAGAAACAAAACGTGGCTGGATACTATATTCTGTAGATAATGTATACATATTTTATAGAAATTCTTTCTATATTCATTATGAATTTTAAAACTGTCCAGATACTACCTACTGTGATAAGGTAACTGTATTGTATCAAGACGTCTCATGAATGAACATTAAGAAAGGCAGTTGAGTTGACTAACAAGAGATTGTGATACCTCAATATACTTACTAACGAATACCACATTATATATTAAAACATACGGAACCTGCTGTATACATAGAAATAGTCATTATATATGGACCTTATATATATATATATATATATATAAAATACTGTTAAAGCATAGTGTACATAATATGTCGCGGAATGATACAATGTACGAGCTACATATTGAAAAATAAATGAACACCGCCGGGGCAACATCTTTATATGAATAAAATATATGTATAACTCTTGACGCCGCTGACTCCGCGGAACGAACACCAAGCGTGTGAACCAGAAGACTCCTGATACACACAAGCTATGGAATGGTATTGATATACTAACATCGGGTCAAACATGTAGTCTTAGGTGTAGGTTATAAGTTTCAATATGTAGTTCTTATTATAATATACATACATATCAGTAAGTTTCGTAGTTTTCGAGTAACCTCTGGTTGCCACCCAATATAATTACCCTACTATTAGACTTTTTATTTTTATATGGACGTTTGTATTGTATAGTATTTTAAGTGTTTATTGAAAAATAAAATACATATTACTGAATTAATAATATATGTAATCGTCGTAATGGTCATGATGTCTCTAACTGCTGGACTCCCGCCTCGTCATGAACTAATGAATGAACTGAACCAAGTGACCTTATATACAAACATTATTAACCACTTATATATATATACAGTATATCCGTCTCCCTCTCTCCTTATATAAAGGTAAGAGACCAAGTTTCTCCACAACAATACTGTTCTTCTATTTGTTTTTCATTTTCCTTTTAACCAACTTCACTGCGAGCCTTTTAAGCGCTCTCACCAAATAAAGCCTGCACATTCTGCAACGTTCTATTAATATCTTGTCAATGTCCATGCCATACTATATTGTGCTCTATCGTCATACGGAAGGGTCTACATTCGGTTAAGCGTGTTGCCCAAAATCGTGCTCCACCTGCCCTGTTATTATAAGTTGTATCTCGTAGGTCGTTGGGAGCTTTCCAACAAACACAGAGCGTGACACAGTGTATCGTTCCGTGACCGTTTATAGCGCGGGTTCGCCTCTGTGTCGCTCTGTGTCGCTCCGTGTCAGCCTCCCGGTTGTGCCTAAAGTTGGGAGCTAAATTGTGAATACAGGCCCCCGCTGCGCCCACAATATTTAAATTGCACTTTAAACTTTTAGCGGTTGAAATGAAATTTGTTCCGTGCTGTGTAAATCCAGAAATAACTAATCACTTTTATGCAGACAGAAACGAACCATAATAGCACGAAATAGAACACAAATCCGAATGACCTGATTTAATGACATAAGACCTCCTACCAATTGCATCACTGCGAGTTTCTCCTGAAATGGTGTCGTGATGCAGATCTCCCCGTCCTCGTCCCTCTCGTGGCCCGGTCGGGGAGTCGTTCATCTATCTCTGTCACTCATTACGACAGAGGCACGTGTCGACGCGCATAGTGACGGGCGTGTTTACATCGCGCGATCTCAACACGACATGCATTGCCTTAAATGGCGCAATGACGAACACGAGTTTAAAATAGAAAAAAAATATAAATTAAAAATATTGAAAAAAATATTGATGAATATAAAAATAGTCATTGTATATCTATATATAACTGTAACAAATATAT